GGTGGGACGGTCACCGCGTCCGCGGGACGCTCTTGTGGGGGCTCCGCGGCGCCGTAAACCTCTTCTCCCTGAACAAGGCCTTTACCTTTCTCCTTGGCCCCTTTCCCACCGTCTTCAGCTTTTTGTCCTCCGGGTAGATTTAAAAGAAGACCTTGTCAGCTAGCGTTACGCTTCCTGTTGTAAGAGAAGCACCCAGGAGCCCAAGCACGGGCGCGCGCGGTCAGGGTGCTGGAAGAGGTGATCTGACACGGCGTTCTTGCGCTCGCTTTTGCGCACCGAGTTGTCTTGTTTAGCCTTAGATAGCAGCCTGGGCGTCTGTGGGGTTGCAGAGATGGAAAAGGGCCTCATGCTACTGCTGCGTGTTGTAGCGCGCCTTCAGCGCGCGCTCGCAGAGGCTGCATCTCTTGGTGGTTACAGAGAGAGAAGCAAAGTCCCTCCAAAACCTGCTTTTCCCTTGCAGACTTTGTATTTTACTTTCAGAAGCAACATCTATTAAAAGAATAAGCACAGCCTCCCTTGTTGAATCTATTGCATGTTCGACTGGGGAAATTAAATCTCTTGTGCAGTTCTTCCCTGAAATCCCGTTTATGCCTCCTCCTGTCTTGGACTGTTGAAGAGCTTCGCAAGAGACGACTTCATCAAGGCACAGGTTGTATCGGGGAATGTGAGGACCTGTCTAGCCACAGCCGCGTTCACCTGGTTTTGAGGATATGGGTCTTGTTTAGCTAGAATTACAACAAAGCACCTGGCAGGACAGGAGCTGGGTGTCGGATCTAACCAAAGAAGCGGGAGGAGGGGGCCGGTAGTTTACTGTACACGTATATTCACTCGTTTGCCCTTTCCCTGAGAGCAAACAAGAAAGCAGTTGCAGCTTTTGCCAAGTGTGATAGTGGTTTCTGTGATATGGAGACCTGCCCGTTAGAGCTGGACCGTTACCAACATGTCTCAAACAACTACCAGTCATATGTTAATAACATGTTGCGAGGAGAATTAAACAAACAGTTTAGAAATGATAGGCTCTGTAACTCGCTAGCAATTCCCTTGGTCCTTCCAGCCTGGCTGCTTTCGTACCAGCTCATTAGTTGGCTAAAAATATGATAGAGGTTTAAAGAGAACTACAGAAATGGGCAGGGACTTCTCCCTAGCCGAAGTCTGCTGGAGCAGAAATTCAGGAGTCCAGTTTGTGGGATCTGGCTCACTTACAGGGGTCAGCTGGTTTTAATTTTAAAAATACTCATCAGGAAGCTCTCTTTTCGTCTCATCCGTATAAATGGCAGCTCTTACAGGGATAGGAAGAGACAGGAAAAGCAGCTCTGAAGAAACCTTCTTACTTAGAACTTGCTCCTCTGCCTATGCTGTTGACAACCAGTGACTAGACACTCTTTGACTTCAGTGAAAATGAGTTTGAGCTTCCAGGCCAAAATGGGAAATTTCCCTTTTTTATCATCTAGTAGAGTGAGGAAAGGTGGATTTTGCAATTAAAAAGAGTCCAATTGTATCAATAATATGATAGCACATTACTATAAATTGCACATCACAGAAGAACTGTCATAATTTCAATTTATGATTCCGGTCTAAATAGAACGCTCATCCCCATCCTGGAAAGTAAATGTATATTTCTTATATTCTCTGCCGTTCCATGCATCCGTCCAAATGGGTGTTGTGACATTGTTATTCTTTTGGCGTTATGATTTCCAAAGATTGTATTCCCCAGATGAGGAGGTTTCACTGTTTCACTGTTACCGTAAGAACCATTAATTATTTCTCAGTCAGACCTTGAGCTCCGGTGAGGACTACTAGTTCAATTGTACAAGTCCCTGCATGAAAACTTAGGAAGAGACATTCCCTCTCCCGCAAGTGTTACATTCTCAGTGAGTGTCTTTGGACCTGATTTTATCTTAAAGACAGGTACCAATTTATCCTTGAGTATGTGCATACAGTAACATACACTGTTGAAAAGCATGACACTGCAGTGGAAATATTAGCAGTCCTGTGATCTGGGGTGGAGAATATTCTGAGTGGAGGACTTCTATAACCCTAAGGGCATAAATACATTAATACATGGTCACTGCTCTTAAAATATTGAACACTTCCTGTACTAGAAAATGTTATGGCGTCTTCAGCTCTGCTGGCAGCAGGCAATTTCTAGCTGTCTTATTTTTGCCTTAAGACTTGTTGTTTCTGGAAAAGAATCTTCAAAGCCTGAGGAGACATCAAAACAGTAAGAAAAGAGGAGATGGAAAGATTGAATAAGCATTATAAATATGTCTAAATCTCTTAGGGCTTGTCTAAACAGGGAAGCTATTTCGAAATAAGTGAGGGTGTGAGCTGAAGCACAACAGCTATTCTCCACCCCCAACAGGGACTTTCTTATTTTGTTCTGTTTTGGAAGGCCTAAATTTCACGTGAGTGCCCAAGATCAGTGCTTTCCATTTGCCAGAAGCGTTTCTGTCTTTACTGAATTTGCTGGTCAGACCCAAACATAAGTTCACATTTCTCTCGCTAGTCAGCCCATTAGCTTGCTCCATATTCAAGCTATACTATGCGCGACGTGGATGACTGAAGATCATGCTATTCGGTATGAACTTATGCTCAGGCTAACATACCAAAAAGGATGTAGTCTATCAAATCTAAATGCCAGACAGTAGGAAATAGACAGATTTTTAATGGCATTTAGGCCATCTGAAAGTAATGCTTTACAGAAGCGCCTTCTTGCAGTTTAACGGAGTCAGCTTCCAAAGCACTGCTCTTGTGGAGTAGGGATGCGTATGAAGAGCTAGCTAATAGTTCTTCTTTAATGATTATTGAGTTTATATTCTTTAATGTTTATTGAGTACTTGCATAATTCTTATTCCAGCCAACAAATTATGCTGGGATACTGAAAAGTATCCTGAAAACTTCCTGCAAGTTTTATGAAAATAGTATGATCAAGAAGTCCATGCTGTCCTGACAGAAGGAAAACCAGAGATACTAGCTCACAGTGAATGTGTATCAGGGTACCGCTTGTGAAAGAATCTCTACAAATGCCCCCTTATCTGGAGAAACATCTGTCAGAAACTGCTACTACCTGTTAGATGCTGAAGTTATTCTGCTATGCAACACAATATATTTACAGGAAACCAGGCACTTGCAGAGCAACTTGTCTTCCAAGTGCATTAGTTTTTTAGGTATGTGAGAAAAACACTATAACACAGAAGCGCTTCATAAAGAGAAAGTAACTAAAAATAATTTGAAGGGAACTGGTGTCAGTTTAGCCCTTCGCTGCTTGGGGATGGTCCACTCTGCCACTAAACACCTCTTACACGCTACAGTTCCCAGGGCCTGTGGGCAAAAAAGGGATTCTTGTCGATGCACGGGGTATAAAGAGGAAGAAATCAAGTCAATCTGGTCCATCATCTATTCACCTTAAGGTACAAGTCTACATTTTTGATATAATGCAGAACTTTATCCTGTTAGTAACAGAGTGTTTAGGTGAAACTCTACACCCTTAGAATCAGAGAAGGGCCAGGCGTTGTAAACTACCACCCACTAGGGTGGAGTGACAAGGTGCATTCATCATCCCAAATTAGAGACGTATTTATAGAGGATTGGCCTGTGACACCATGAAAGACGCACAAACAGCTACGCAAATTGCTGCAGAGGAATTTAATTGAAAAGTATGTACCTAGACTAAAAGGAGCGCTGGAATGAAACCTTACCCACCCCTCCATCAGCTCCCTAATGCTGACACGCATCATTACTCGCAAGGAGATAAGGAAGGGTTAGTGTTTTTTAGGGCTGACGTTTCTCTCTCACCTCACTCCTGCAGTGCCACAAGGTTAGCGGTGGTTTTGTGTGTTTCTCGAGTTCAGGAGTCGCTCGAGCATGTACCGACTAAAATCCAGCTTGTTGCTCTCCCACTTTTTTGCTTCTGTGGTTCTGCCAGGAGAACAGCAGCAGATCTTACATGAAGTAGCTGGCAGTTCTTGCGTCGACACCAAATAGATGTTTTTCCATAATGTTCCTTGCCTCTCTCTCTCTCTTCACCCTTCTCGTGAAAAGAGCGCATCTTTTACAATTTAATTTAGCTAGCTCTTTAGCGAGCCTTTTTTGTTATCCATTCTTCCTGCGCCTATGGACTTATGTTCATATTTTTACAGATGAAAAACTGGAAATGATATGTTCAATTTACTTCTTGGGTCATTCATTATGCTGCCTAGTGTTTATTATAGGGCAAGTGATTAGGGCTTTTGGAGAAAGGAGACAGGAAACAGACTGCAGACATTGTTAGCATATAAATAGCCCTGGGGAGGTGGTAGTGGCGGAGAGAATGGGACATTTCTGGGATTTTGCCATAACTGAATGACACAGATGGTTTTCCAGTAAAATGAATATTTTGGTAATGAGTAGTGAATGTGCCTCAGTCTGGCAGCACCTACAGCCCCAAGAATGCAAACAATTTAGAAGTAGGTTTGTCAATAAATACCA